GCCCACACACTGATCTTCATCACTAAACGATCAAAGCTAAAACCAACTTTTTCCAGTCTTGGAAGCTGATTTTTTCCCTTCCTGATCATTTCAGATGGGAAATTTAAACTGTCGTCTGACAATTCAAAGCGTTTTGAGTGGTGCACAAGAATGGAAAAAGAAAATGCCAGACAGGATTTTCTTATCAAAGCTAATCAGTTTGTCAAATCCATCATTTTAAACATGTTTGTAAACTGCACCTCACCTCAGTAATGCAGCATGACTGGTAATATACTTCTGTGACAGCAGATGTGCAAAAAGTGCACCTTAGAGGCATTTTTCTACATACAGATATGCAAGAGAATTTGATGTGGATTCTAATATTGCCTGTTGTCCTTCAGTTTTTGTATAGACCAATATATCTGAAAATTCTCAGAATGGTAAATTACAACAGGATAAATGTATGTTTTGAGAGCATGTCTACTTGGGCAAACTCTTTCTAAAGTCTGTTACTTAAACTGTATGGCTTTTGTATCTTTATGGAACATGTTTCGTTTCAAAATGATCTTGATTCTGTTTTCTTTCCCCCCTGCTGTATCCAGCATCTAACACACAACAGATCACAGATTTCTTTTCCAAAACACTATTCCCAGACACATCTTACTCACAGCTATTCTACACCGCAGAAGCAGAGGTACATTTCCCCCTCAGCAGCACATTGTCAGATCCACGTTCACCCAGTTGATGCGAACTTCACAACAATTGGTGTTCAGCAATGTGCTTTCCCATGCACCAGTCCCACCACGACTGGAACAAACACACAGGACACAAGCTAATCTTGACTGCTGCGAGGTGAGGGCAGAACTGTGACCAGGAGCTACGGGTCACACCGGGTGACCATAGAGAGACACAGAGCCCCTGGAGGGGTCCAGTGGGTGAGGGAACTGGAACATCTCTCTTACAAGGAAAGGCTGAAGTAGCTGAGTCTGTTCAGCCTCGAGACAGCTGAGTGGGGACCTCATTAATGTGTATAAATATCTGAAAGGAGGGTGTAAAGAGGACAGAGCCAGGCTCTGCTCGGTGGTGCAGAGCAGTTAAGACAAGAGGCAACTGATGCACAGGAAGTTCCTCCTGAACACGAGGAAGAACTTCTTTACTGTGCGGGTGACCGTGGTGCTGGAACAGGTTGCCCAGAGAGGGCGTGGAGTCTCCTTCCGTGGAGAACAACCGCCTGGACACAATCCTGTGCCATGTGCTCTAGCACGACCCTGCTTGAGCAGGGAATTTGGACCAGACGACTCACTGTGGTCCTTTCCCACCCGATCCATTCTGTGATTCTGTGACCTGCCGGGCGTGTCACGCGGAGCACCACCACGATGCCACCCGACCTTCATCCCCTCACACGCCTCCCTCCGGGACCGGCACTCCGAGAGCCGCTTCCCGGACCATTCCAGCGGCCCTCCCGGCCCACCCCTCCCGCAGATCGCAGTCGGGCCCCCCTTCGCTGCCCCGTGCGGGACCTCGGCCCCAGCCCCAGCCCCGGCCCCGGCCCCCCACGCCCGGCCGGGCGAGCCCGGTCCCTGCCGCCACCCCCGGCGGCGCCGCCCCCCGCTCACCATCTCCTCGTGCCCGGGCCCGTCGGGCTGCCCGGAGCCTCCATCGCCGCCGGGCCCGGGGCTCGCCCGCCCCTCGGGGGTCTTCCTCTCGCTCGCGCCCTTCCCGCGCCGCGCCGCCCGCCGCCCCCACAGGTAGATGGCTCCGGCGCCCAGCAGGATGGGCGCGCCCAGCACCAGCGCCAGCTGCCAGCGGGACAGCCCCGCGGGGCCGCCGCCGCCCGCCGGCTCCACGGGCTTCGAGGCGGCCATGACGCCCGGGCGGAGCAGCGGGAGGAGGGTCAGCGGACACGCGGGGCGCGCCGGGAGCGCGGGGCTGAGCCGCGCCCGCCCGCACCGCCCCTGCCGGCCCGGCGGGGCAGCGCAGCACCGGCGAGGGAACGCGGGGGAGCGCGGGGAGTGTCAGCCAAAAAATGGTGCAGGGGCCTCGGGTCCGGACTGATGTTGTGCGGAAGGAGTTCTGGGCCGCTGACATGCGGAGCGCACTCCACATCTGGAGTGCTCTGTCCGGCTCTGGGCTCCTCAGGACAAGAGACACGTGGAGCTCCTGGAGAAGATCCAGTGGACGGCAACGAGGGTGATTAAAGGGCTGGAGCACCTTTCTTACGAGGAAAGGCTGAGGGGGCTGGGTCTGTTTTCGGCTGAGAGGGGACCTCATTAAACTGTGTAAATATCTAAAAGTGGGCTTCCGCCACCACCACCACCAGGCTCTTCTTGGTGGTGCCAAGCGATAGGACAAGAGGCAAGAGCAGAAACTGATGCACAGGAAATTCCTTCTGAACATGAGGAAGTGTGCAGATGACCAGAACGGGTTGCCCAGAGGGGTTGTGGAGTCTCCGTCACTGGAGATACTCAAGAACCATCTGGACACAATCCTGTGCCACGTGCTCTGGGATGACCCTGCTTGAGCAGAGAGGTTGGACCAGATGATTCACTGTAGTTCCTTCTGACCTGACCCTGTCTGTGATTCTGTTCTTCTTCTGTGATTCTGTGTAGTTTCAGCTAATATGCCTGATTTAAAGTTTCTAGGACTTTGTACTGGAGCATTTTGAAACAATTCTTATTATAAATGTCATCTTTAAGTCATTAATTGAGTCTGTCATAAAAATAATTTAATACACAGTACTGGAATTTTGTACTTGTTGTATATGTGTGCATGTATGCCCACTTAGCATCCTTACCTGTAGGCAGAGGAAGCTTATGTTTCTGTCTCCACTTATTTCCATGGACCAATGCCATGGACCAATGGCTGAGGATGAAGAGGAGTCATCTTTGATATGTTTTTATACTCAGAAAACTCTAGTCATCTCATGGCTAGAAATTTCATTGTAGGTGACAGGGAAATGGAAGGAATATGTGTGAAGAAACATATTGCAGCGAAGAAAAAAAGGACTGAAAATATAAACAACAGGAAGATTGCAAAGCAAATACTTCAGGAGCCCAACTAAAATTTGCCCTGCTGCACTCTGAGTCAGTAGTGCCCGGTAGTAAACAGCTTGAGATGTATCCTCTAATTTATGGATTATTACTATTTACATAAACATATTTCGACAAAGCCGTGGGACAACCTCTCTCCCATTTCTCCCTGTCACCTGTCTCAGCATGGCAGGAGCATTTCCTGTTCCACACAACAGCCTGCAGTTCTGTCTTGCATGTCAGAAAAGAAGAAACTCAAACCACAAAGTAGAAAACAAGTATCCAACAGGTTGATAAATTCCTACTGGGACAGCCTCAATTCCACCCACATGATGCTTCCTATAAGCTACTGTAGGCCTTCAGATATATCTTGCCTGAACACATGGGTGGCCTCAAGGATGTGAGTCAAATTCAGGCTGTCAGAATATGGCCAGGAGTGTTCTTCACCACCTGAAGAATCAGCCTACACATCCTTTTTATTGCTTCAAGTATCTTTTTATTGTACTGCTTTGCAGGTATTCCTCTTGCTCCTATTCACCTGTGCCTCTGCCAAGAAAGCAGCCTGCTGCAGGTTTGATTGCATCCAAGCTCTGATACATCACATCTGAGGCAATGCCATCTGCACACCCATGTACTCCAGGTCCCCATGCTACACAGTCTTGCCTACCTTGGACAAAGTAAAACTTGGGCAGATAGACATCTGTGACCAACTGGTCCCTTTACCCATACTGCTTAGAATGAAGAGTCCTACATTGTAGTTAAACCTCCTGCCTACACCCACATGAATGAAACTGGCCTTCTGTTACTACATCTGTATTTCTAAGTAGGTTGTGGAATAGACAAGGTTTAATGCTGGACCCCTGATCCTCTGTAATGCTAAATTACCAACAAGCTTTTCAGCATACTTCTGGCCAAGGCCAACTAGTATCTCCAAAGCAATGCCTAGGCACCAGGAGAACACCTAGAACACACCAAAGACTGCTTCCAATAAGAAGTTAGATTTGGGTTCTTCCTGTTATGCAGCCTTCCAACACTACCCCAATAGGCTCTACAGCCTTAGAGCCCTCCTCCTTGTCCTTCTGCCATGTCCCCAGGCATGTAACACATCTTCCAGTTTCATACCATACAATCAACAGTTTTATGGGCCACAAGAGAGTTTTTGTGTTATATCAGATAATTTAAAATAAAGAATACACAAAAATTACAACAAAATATTAGAACCACAGTGCAGTACGTACAGCCTGAAGGAGATGCACAGCACAAGCGCCATGTAGGGTACGTGTGATCAGTGTAGCAACTGAGTCTCAGGGCCAGAAAACAGTCTCTGGCCCTATTCTGTTTGTGGTCTAGACATGGCCTATGTGGGTTACACCCAGGGCTGGTGAGGAGGAATCAGACATATTTTTACCCTGTGTGCATTCAAGCGAGGCAGTGCCTCCCATAACCCTGTATGGCAGATGAAATTATTCTGGTGAAAAGCAGCTGACACAAGTTTTCACTGTCTGTCATAACCCAAAAATGAACAAGCGGTTCCTTCAGGGGGGGCTTGGTTCTACCTAGACAGACCACATTTCCTAAATACTGAAGGAAGAGTAGAGGCAAGAGAAGTCAGGATGGAGAGAAACCTGGGAAGCGTTGGCCATTTGTGCTTCCTCCCACAGAGCCAGTCTCTGCAAGCAGCCGTGCCAGTTCCTGACCAACATCAATATGTCGATTCTGCTTCTCAAAATCACAGTCCTACTTTGGGTTTGTGTATGCACCTCCCAGGCATGTAACTGTGGGCAATTCTCCACTGGTATTGACAGCTGATACACTCAACAGCCACACACACAGAGCACAGAGTAGCCAACACTCCCCCCACCAGCCCCCTGCGGCAGTGTCATATTGGACAGCGCTGCAATGGAAAGGTTAAAAAAAACCTTGTTGAAAAGAAATGAGAAAGGATTGACTTCATGTTTAGACGGTGCCCAGGGCTGCAGTGGAATGGGTTTGTGCAGAAAGAGTGGTTGAAACTGCGTCTCTGCTTCCTCTTCTTGGCAGAACAGTGTGAAATTACTGGCTTGGTGGTGGAATTTGACCTTGCTTTTCCTTGTCTGGTTGGGAGACACCCCCCCAAGTTTGGAACATCTGTACATGGAATATGACGAGGATGATGATATCTTCTTTGCAAAATGGATGAGCAGCTTCTGGGGCCACAACTTGATCGATGAGAATGAGAAAGAGGGTAGAGGCCACAAGAAACGTCAGACACGATTCTGTAATGAGAGGAGAGCATCCCTCCCGGTAAGAGCTGTGTGCAGTTTTCTCTGTGTGTGCATGTGGTTTATGCATAAATATAAGTTCCATCCCCAGGAGCATGGCCCTAGAAATATGTCAGGATATGTATGGTACACCTTACCAAGTAAGTTCAGTTCCTGCTGGCAGCAGCTAGTTTCTTTTTGGATTTAGCTGCCAACCAGTGTCAGGCCTCCAGTGTCTTCGAATACAGGAAAACTGGCAAATTCCAAGATAAATGATGACAGGACCAGAAACACAAGGAGAAGCATGTAATAGCTGCCTAACTATGCATTACAGTGTTTTTCTGTCTGCTCAGCATGACCTGGCAGATATCAAAACATTTTGCGACTGGCATGCATAAAGACTGTCTTTAACAAGTCTGTTCTCATATGTAAAACTATGTAACTCCATGTGTATTAATAGGATTTGGACCTAATTCTGCAACTATACTATCTCCAGGGAGTTTTACTCCCTGGGATTTAGCTGTTTGCAGGTGCAACTTCTAGTTTAAGCTAGAGGATGTGGTCTCTTCTGATTTAAAACATCTGACTCTGAAAACAAGGATACAATACATAACAAAGCTTATTAAACTCTGAAGTAAGATTTTAAGGTAGAAGTATAGTCTGGGTTATTAAACTAACAAAAGAGTTTGGAAAGGGGCAAGATTCATGTGCAGAAGCAGGTTTTTAAGGCAGCTCACAACTATCTGGTGTTGAAAATTAAGTTAAACTGAAAACAGCTTTCACATTCTTCCTTTTACTCAAAGACTGTTGCTTTTATTTCAGCTCTTAGAAGAATATTTAGGTGGTCCAAACCTCTCTCTTTTTCCCAACTACATCAGTTGGCTAAACAAAGATACTGTGTTTCCTTAAAGCCATTTTATACTTATATCCTTAGATCATTTTGGCTGCAACAAAGCAAATGCTAATATATGGAGGAGAAACAGCTAACCTTTTCCAAGCTTTTTTTTTTTATGCCACGTTATATTTTCACCTTGCAAGTTCTCCACTGGAACTGCCATGTTTTAAGCTATAGGATTTTTCATGTTCAAAAAAATTGGCTAAGAAACTAAAAGAGTCCAAAACCACCTTCTCCCTCTTTAAATTCATGGACATGCTGCAGAGGTAACCTTCGGTCTTAATGTCTGGTCTGATGAGTCACATTTGTTATCTACTGTTATATTTCACCTTTGCCACAGATTGCAAAACAGACTCTGAACTAGAGCTTTGCTGGTGTATTCCATCAGAATGCTGGAAACATAATATCCGTTGGTGTTTGGGGCGGTTAATTAATTTTACTGTATATTATTTTTTTCCTTCACAGATCTATGCATATATGATTTCTATAGACCTCAATACAGACTGAAGTGTAAGAATGAACTTTAAATCACTTTCCATTCAGCACCGTGCTGAACACATCTTGTTGTATATTCTTGTACATTGTATCTGTATTAGTGTGTGCACAGACATTTAATTTGAAGCATGTTCCTATACTGTTTGTTCAAAAACTATTGAAATATTTAACTAATAGCTATTCAAACACTTTGCTGTAGTTGAATTTGGATTAAGTTAGCTGACAGAAAGACTGTGATTTTTTGACATTGTTGTTCAACAAGGTAAAATTATCATGTACATGTATATGTCTGGCTTTTTCATTAATGCTTCACACAAATTTGTCTTGCTCTCCTAGTTTTATGTATAAGATATAAATTTTAACTGCTTTATTTCTCAGAGCCAGTAGTTGACTAGAGAGAGGAATGAGAAGGGAAGATCTGCTTGGTGATTTTATGATTTGGGGATAAATTTTGAGATGAAACTTTTGATTTGGAAGTTGAGTAGTTGGTGATAAATAGCACTAAAACATGTTGCCTTTAACCAAAGCTAGAAATTAAATCACTAATGATGCCTGAGAAATACCTTCAGAAAGAGCATCTGGTGACTGAGAGCAACAACTTGCTATTCCACCTGGCCACGTGTTTTGTACAGTTACTACAAATTATAATGACTGTAAGATTCATTATTACAAATGTTAACTACTGTAAGATTCAAAACACTTGTACTGTTATTTAAATATTGTCTTCATTTTATCAGAACTGTGCAGTTAATCAGGAGGAATAATAACTGAGATTAGACAGCATTTCTTCTGTAAATACCTTCACAGCAGATGACAGTGTACCCTTTTGTCTGTCTCAACATCTTATTTTGAAGTAACTCCACTGTCCAGGTGAAAATTGAGTCAGCAGGTTCTGACACAGCTGTTGACAAAAGTTCCTTGTGCAGATACAATGGCACTGCCAAAACAGCACTGCCAGCACACTTTTTCTTGTATCCAAGGCTGATATGCAGTGCATCAGCAATAGTGCAGCCCTGCCCACGGGGACTGCAGCTGCATCAGGAGTGTTTGGGTATTACGTAGCAAAATGCTCATGTTGTAGCACAAAAGGTGGTTTTATATAACGCTGGAAATCACTTTCAGCTCCAAATTGGTGTGTTGGTCTTTGTGGTATTTCCTGTGCTGTAGTAAGATATTCAAGCCACTGCTCTCACCTCAAACAATAATAAACTTCTGTGGCATCCTATCATGGTACAGCCCCCTCCAAAAATAAACATAAAGCTTTGTAGAATAACTCACAAACTAACAACAGTTTTTTTCCCAACATCTTGGTGTACCTCACAAACATTACTGAGATGAGCTTCACAAAATGCTTTTGCTAGTGTCATTCACATTTTGCAGAGGGAAACATAAAATCATGTTCATCCTTCCCTGGGTCACGAGCAAGTCAGGCTAAAACATGCAACTCTCCTGAAAAGCGTCAGAGTTGTATATGATACTGTGGGCCAACAGTGAACGTGAAAACTGCCTGGGGAGAACTGTCATCTCTTTCCATCTCCTCTGTTTAGCTTGTTCCTCTGGCAAACTTTAGGCAAATTAACTGTGATACCCTTTTTGTAGCCCCCAGCTATGACTTTCCTTGACACATTCTAGTTATCCTGCACCATTTTGGTCCAGGACAGTTCTTACCTCCTAGTCATTTTGTTGTGGGGAAAAGATAGGGGGCAAAGGAGCACTGATAAGAGTTTTACAACCTATACATGTATCAGCCTTCAAATAGGTGTTGCTGCTCACAGGAGAAAATCTGATAAGAGCAGCTGAGAGTGGGAGCAGAGTGACTGACTGCTGTTGAAGTTACTAACATTTAATTTACACTAAAGTCAGACTGAACATTTACCACAATATTGTTACTAGAGATCAGTTGGAGCCCAGACCAAAACATTTTTAAGGAATATATGTTTGTTTATAAGCTTTTCAGAAGGAAAGGAAGCCATGGGACAGCATCCAAATGCCCAGTATTCCAAAATATCTCTAAAATACTGGAGTCATTGGTTAGACTTCAGCAAACAGAACACTCGTGCTGACACACCGAAGACTAATTTTCTTACTGACAGCTGTGCAAGCACTCATATCAAGCTCAAAAGATGCAAGCAATCAACTTGTCTACAACAGAAATTGAGAGAGATTAGGCAAATTGTATTTACACCAATTTCTTGAAATGTTTTTGTTTGTGTACTTTTTGTATGTTTTAGATGGGCAATTAGCAGATTATCTGTTTTGTGAATAGCTACACTGAGCATGACTGGCCTTTACCCAAAGGCAGAAAAAAAGAGTACTAAAGGGAGTGAGAAACAATCATTGAGATCCTTTGGTGCTTCTGGATTTCCCAGAGCTGGCAAAAAATCCCCATTTTGATACCTGGAGCATTTAACATTCTTCCTTCTCATGTCTTTTCCCTTGTTTCACTTCCTCTCCACTTCTCCAGTTTAAGAACTACTTGAGGTCAGATCCTGAGAGGCAGAGACCAAGGTGAGTTCACTAAAGAGGTACCAGATGTAGGCATGAGGCAGTTGCTGGGCCAAGGACAGGAGCTGATGCTGGGACTGTACTCAGAGAACTTTGTCAAGGGATGACTGCAGCAGTGGGTGCACACCCAGGAGTGCAGATATAGAGGCAATCTCTGTTGGCAGCAGCTGCTGAGACTTCAGGAGGGGAAAGCATAGATTAAAGCAGTCTTCATCTATTCTTATTTACAGTGTTACCAAGCAATCAATTTGGCATTAAACACGTGTATTAATGCATGTATTAAATCTATGAAATAGGAAGAAAGACACTTGGATTTTATCTACAGTCAGTGCCAGATCTGCTTCATCGCTGAACTTCATTTTATGACTCTCAGTTTTTCACAGAGTCAATATTAAATAAAAGAAGACTAATGTCCTGTGCTAGATATAAGCTATGAAATGTTCATGCCTGAGGAGTTATGGTGAGGCTCTTATCTTCTGTAGGGTTGTGTCCGTAAGTCAGCACTATGCTGACATGCCTTAGCACACTGTCCTACGTATGGTGGTGTGTATCATGAAAAGGCACTGTGAGAGAAAGCACAGTCACAGTAATATGGTTGCACAGATATTTACCCTTAGTCCACTGAGGCAGATGGGCATTTCAGAGGAAAGCCTGTCCCTTTTCTGGACCATTGCTGCCATGTCAATAGGTAAACTGTAGTCTTTCTTTAGGGGCTTAATTATAATTCCCTCTGTGAAGGGAAATTAAAAAGCAATGTCTTAATAAAAGAAAACATTTACTAACATTGCAAAACAGGATTGATAGAATACAATCCTCCATTTCAGCTGTCCTCCTGTGGGTTTTTTTCAACCAAAACCCTCTAAGAACAACCAGTGATTTTTACTGTGAGACAATTTTTATTTCCAGGAAACAATATATGTTGATGACACAGAAGACATTTAGCTTGTTGAGTTTGGCATGGCGTGTGTGCTCCTATCCCTCAAGCACAACGTGATTGCTTTCATGCTTTTTAAAGTAACAATACAATATGACCTTACAGAACTTACAGCTGTATCGATTGGTTTGAAACCAAAGTAAAAATAGTGCGGCAGAAATCATTAATGCTACTCTCAGAGGCAGTCCATAATACTGGACATAGTAAGCTTGTGTCTGGCAAAAAAAATTGAACTAGTACCATGCATTTGGAAAACTCTTCACTATTATGTACTTCTGCCAGGTGTGAGATTTATTATTTTTAGCATCTCTCATCAAGCCTGTCTAATGTGATATAACCACAACCACATGAAAGCAGAGCCTCACTATTTAAAGAAAGGCTGCATCGGTCCCTGTTGTGTTTATACATATATATAATAGCATCTGGGCCAGAGGAAATGAAATTGTGTACAGGATATATTTCAGGTGGCAACTATACCAATTTGATTAAGCTTTCCTCCATTTGTTAATAAACCAAAACAAACAGTACACACATACTCCTCCCCAACAAACCCTACTCTGAGTGTCGGGTTTTCTACTGGATTTTCTTAGAAAGCATTTCAGAATCTGTAGAATAGAACTTCAGTTGTTTGAAACAATCACAGCTCCCTTGAAGGCAGCAGTGCTTCTCAGGGTTAATTTGTAGTTGAAGACTTAGCACCAGGCTTATACAAAACATAGAATCACAGAATCAATCAGGTTGGAAAAGACTCCTGAGATCATCAAATCCAACCTCTGATTGAACACCACCACGCCAACTAGACCATGGCACTAAGTGCCACATCCAGTGTTTCCTTAAACACCTCCAGCCATGGCGACTCCACCACCTCCCTGGGCAGTCCTTTCCAATGGCATCCTGTCTGTGAAGAAATTCCTCATAATGTCCAAAACATATACCCATTCAAACATGTATGCAGCAGTTGGGTGCCTGGAGTGGCCTCACCTGACACCTGCAGGAGTGTCATTTTCAGTACCTCCTGGCTCTGAGTTTTCAGCACCTGCATCTTACCAGTGTTCAGCTACTCATCCTGAAAAAGCATTAGCAACTGGCAGGGTTTGGGGCACCCCTGGCTCTCTGTAGTGTCCTTCTCACCCATCACATCTACAGGTCTGTCTATTCCTAAAACCACCAATACATGACTCTGCAGGACACAGCAGTTCTGTATCAGTTTAATCTCCTTTACAGACATTCAATTAAACACAGCTGATGCAGATCAATAACTTTTATCTGCATGTCAGGCCTGGGAAAACAGAATCATAAAGAAACTAAACAACTATCTACTCTCTCCCCACATCAACCCTACAAATGTAATTGTAGGAAGTCTGTTTTCTACCACTTCTCTGGCAGAGATGTGTCCCTCAGTGCCCTGAAAGTGCTCCCTCATCAGTTCATGACAAATGTGCCCAAGAAACCAGCAGAAAATTAAAAGCTGGGCAATAAAGCTTCTTGTCTGCCAGCTGAAATTTGACAGAACTGGGCTAGAAATGGTTGCTGTCACACTCAAACATTTATTCAAACATTTAATAAAGCTTGGAGCACCCATGGGTCAAACCCTGAGTCCTCTTTCCACAAAAGGCTTGGTCTTTGATTTTTGAGGGTCCTGCCCAGAAACTGCAGCCAGATCAAGGCCTGAATTTTTGAGGCTGTGAATGTTCCAGTTCCTTTTAGTGCCAGTGAACTCTAAGAGGACCCAGCAACTTTACATTTGAAAAGCTCATTTGGGTGCCAAAGCTTAGATACTCAAAACCAGGAATAATAGGAAATTCTGCAGCTGCTGCCTCCAAAAAAGCAAGTTCTTAACAGTGTGATTCTCCTGCACATAAGATGAAAGACACAGGATTCTGGGCATGGTCCTTCACTCTGCACCACTCTTGGGAGAGTCTCTGTGGCAGAAAAAAAATCTACTTTGTGTGCTTTGCTTTAATATTTAGTACTCAACAAAGACCTTTTGTTTTTCAGGCCAAGCTTTCCTCCTTCCATGCAACACGACTTCATGATTCTGCCAAAGGCTCATCTTCAGGCCATCTCAAGGGCTCCAAGGAATTTCAAGAAGACCAAGATGTCAAATGCCACTGCCACAGGAAAGCAAGCAGAACAGCTTCAGCAGACAGCTCAGGCCCAGACACAAGATCAAATTCCATTCAGGAATTTGCAGAGTCCTTTGAAAAGCAATTGCATCTCAAAAGCAAGCGCTCAGTTTCTTTGGTAGGTGACAACCAACTTAATATTACTACCTAAGAAAAAGCCCAATCAACCAACAAGTGAGCCAGCTTTATCCTTTGTGTAATAGCTGCGACTTTGCTGGAGCAAGGGCAGAAATTAACTTGAACTAGAATTTCTCATATTATGTCGTCTCAAATTACTACAGCAGCACAGACAAGGTTAAAGTTATATCAATAGTGTGAGGATTCTTGATGTAGTGTTGCCATCTAGGCTTATTCAGAAACATCCTCAAAATGAGGTACTGCACTGGCTGTGGCAATATTTTCAGAGGTTTCTGTGGCTGTGACAACAAAACGTGACAATATAAACCCAGATTTGCTTCACTTTTACCATGAGACCCAGCTCACTTTCTCACTGCTGCCGACCTGGTTTAACCTATATGGTATTATCTGTAAGACTGCCAGACACTGCAGTGTTTGAGAGGCTTCTCTTTTACCCCTTGGGACTCCATTCATCTGCTTTCTGCAGTGTCACCACACTGCTACAGCAGCAGCTATTGCTATAAGTGGCTGAACATAATTTCACTGTAAGGGCATGCAGGCAGCAGGGGATTCTCCCCCCATTTCATTCTTTTCCCCATCATTCTGTCCTGAGACAAGACCATTTTTTGTATGGTTTGTGTTGAGGAAGTAGCCAATAACAACATTTTGTCTACAACACTTTAACATATTTTTGTAATTATGATACATAATATCCGATGTATCATACAATGGAAGGAAGGGTAATAAATCCTAACTCACTTTTACATACCAGAATGCTATCAAATTGTCACCCCATTCAAAAAACTGTGCTTGAATAACACTTGACATTATCACCAGATAGCCATAGAAGGAAATATCTTTTTTTTTTCCAGTTTGTTGACACTGACAGTTTGAATGGAAAAGTAATTTTCATCTCTCTTTGCAGACCTTCTGTGCACCAAAAGAGAGAAAAAAATATCTCTTTTCAATAAACATCATTATTACCTGATCAGTTCCACAATTATGGTCCTGGATGACAAGTCTTCTAAGAATATGTAGAATTATGGTGTTGACAGCACTGTTATGCCATTGTCAAGATTTTAAGTGTATTCTCTAATCTTATTTTTCCCCTTTAGGAACTATTCAATTTATTTCATTTTGGAATTCACACTGCCTCATGTGCCAACGCTCACTAGTGGTTGTCTGGTTTATAATTTCTAATTTCTCAAAAATGGCTATGGCTAGAAAGTCTGTGAGTGTGTAATAATTGTATGATGGGTATAGTGAGCATAATGTATTAAATATGACATCAGTTCCAGATAAAACATGCATTCCTGTGGCGTGTGCTGAGCTGTATTTTAATCTGCCTTTCAAGTAGACCAGGTTGTTGTAATTTCCTCAGTCGCCATTGACATTTGAGAGATGTGAAGGACTTGAGGATCTCAGAGAACTGAGCAAGAGGTGTTAGAGATTTGAAAAGAAATTTGAGCTTAAATTTGTGTCTCCAAATGGAGCATTTTTTAGCATTCAGAGCTCTGTGGGTGCAATTCAAACCACCATGATGACACAGGTGAAAGAAAATTGTGGGAAAGGTAATTCATCTCCTTCCCTGCATATTGCTTTTCTCTTAAAAACATGTCTTTGAGAATACTTCATGACCTTCAGCACTTGTTTTCAGTGAGGCCTATGTGGCTAGTACTGAACAGCCTTCAGGCACGTAAAGATGGATCATGTGAGAGGACAGAAATGTGGAGTCTGGGCTGAAATCTTGGAGCCTGTCTGTTTTTCCCTCCCATACTCAAGTCTGCTGGGCAGGTGACCCTTCTATCATACACAGAGTATAATCAAGGCATGTTTGCTGCTTCTTGCTGAGTTTTAGGGTGATTGGCTTGAGCCTTGAATTTGAGCCCATCATGGTAGACCTGATCATGGTGAGGCAGGTTACTGGAATATTTTTGTTATACATATCAAATAAAATGATGAGCTTGCTTTTTTTTATTCATGTAGGAGTCACTTTTAATTCCCAGCTGTTTCTTCCCTGCCTTTTAGCAACCTGAAGGCGTGAAGGAGAGACGAGAAAGAGAAAGATTGCATTTGAGAAAAAGCAAGTCTCATAAGAGAATGGAAGAGAAATCAGAGCCAAGGAGAGAACGAGAAGAAGCTGAAGGTTCAGAAGTACCTGCAAAACACAACGAACAGTGTCCATCACAAGCAAGCATTCAGAAAGGATATTAATGCACAGGCAGCTAGAATGCATTGAGATAATCAATTTTAACACTCCCCCTGAAGAGCAGAGGGAGAATTCTTGTTTTGTTTTGACTAGAAGAGGCCTGATAGCTAGAATAAACCCTAAGCTGTAAAACAAAAGTAAAATTCAACTGCATCATTAACACCATGTTACTACCTTCCTTTCTTTACTTTTGTTGTTAGGAATGTGACCTTTGTCATAGGAGTATATCAGTAGCAAGATCCAAGTTAGCAATTAACTACCATAAGAGGGTTTCAGGGAAATTTAGCATTGTGGTAGGACAGTGGTGGATGTGTTCATTTAAGAGAAGGCCACCATGAATGTATTATAGAGCCATGCAAAGTCATCCAAAGCCTTATGTTTCTGTTTTAACTAAAACCAGGCTTACTGGTAGGTTTGGGAAGAAAAAAGTACACATAAACAGCCAACTGCTTTCTGGTCCTGATGTTCACCTAGATTTGCCTTGAAAACATGTGTCTTTTTGCTTTGACAGTCTTTCAACTCCAAATGTATGGACTTTTTCTCTTCTTCACCTCCCTGATGTCTCGCTTCTCTCTGCTTTCCCTATCGCTATGCAGTATGACTCTTGTTTCTCTGACATCCCTCAACCCTCTCCCATGTCCTCAGTCCCATTTCCCCAGTCACACAACTAGTTCATTCTCCCAGATTTAACCTCATCACCTTGCTTCTTTTGTGGCTTTCCCCCTCTCCATTTACTACTTTGTAGTCCTTTCTCGTAGCTACCAACTTTTTTTGCTGCATCTCTACTCATGCCTCATCAAAATTTGAGCTTTGCTGAAAGTTCTCCAGGAAAAACAGAGATCTATCTCTCTTACTTCCATATAATCTCTTGAAGGGGTTGCTGAGGCACTGCAACCCTTTTTCCTTTTTTTCTTTTCTTGAACTTGGGCCAAACCAAGGGAATTGGAACTGTCACGATCCATGAAAACCAGGAGGTAGGAAAACTCCATTCCTCTGGCTGAAGATCTCCTGAACACAGGTGTAAATCTCATCTCCACATGCTCACAAACACATACACATCCCCATAATTCCCCCATGCTTCCCTTCCTTCAACAGGCAAGTCTTCTCTCTAGACACAACCTTGCCCTCTTTGGGAATATTCTCCCCAGGCCTAGTATGGAGAAAGCCTGCTTTGGATAATTTAGTTAGAGAAGAGTGAAGACTAATGAAATCATGAACAAAAGTCAAAGCCTGATGGATATTCTTCCTGTGATTTTCTGTAATTAACAAAGATCTTACTATTTTACCTTAGAGCCTTAATTTTGAAGTTCAACCTTTTAAAAGATTAGGGCATCCTTAAAACTTTGTAAGACTTATCTCCATTAAAGGATTGTGTTTTGTTTTTTTTTTTTTTTTTCAAGTAGGGCTTTGGGGGATATATAAGAAAGCAATTGAATCTTTGCTGATGCTTGTAAATTGCTTCTTGCATGGTAACTTGTATTATAAACTAATAAATCTGAGGGAAAATGTTGTTCCTATGCATAGTTCCTGTCCTCCTCAATCCAGATTGAATTTTTTGTGAAGTTCTTCTGTCAGCCCAAACTTACATACAGATGGCTTTCCTTTTATAACTGTTATTTGAAGATTGCATTACAACAGACCAGGATAGAAAGGAACATGGACATCTGTGTCTGAGTTGCTCAGATAAAACCTCTCACATATATCCTTTCGTGTAACAGCCTGCCCTCACGTCTTATGAGAGCTGAATGCCGTGGCTGCACCCTGGATTTCAGACCATCAGCCATCTCCTCCTGTTTTACAGACAGGTTAACTCAACAGGCCCCTTCAGAATTTTATTGTGTTTATCAGACTAATGTGCTGGTTGTACACCACACCTGATGAACAGAAAACGCCAAAAAGAGCTAAAATAGAAAAGTCATGTGTGGCTGGTCCTGACTTGCTGTTTTCCATCTCCACCAAAGCACAGTCAAGCCTCACTGCCACCGAGGCAGCTGGGCAGGTCTGCCTGCAGACAGCTCCAGTGTGTAGCACTGAACCCCATCTCTCAGATAGGAGTCTGTGAGTGTTCATGTCCTTTTTGAACTGGCCCATCAGTCCCACTGTGTGACATTGGAAAGAGAAGCTTTCAAATTACGTCCTCTGTTTGCTCAAAAGTGTTCTCCCTTGCTCCCTATCATGCCTGATTAGCCTTTTCCAGTTCAGTCCCGTCTAGCCTGGTGCAGTGAAGGACTGAAGCTTGCATGATAGAATGAAATCATTCTCCATAGAAATTAACAAGTATTCCATAATGAATTGGGCATTTGGGAAGGAAGGTAATCACCCAAAGAGGAATCTGATTGTAATGGCATGTCTGATATTTCTGTTTCCACAGGAAGAGGAATGGGGGTATACAAGCAAAATATTTATGCTTTTGTGCTTCTCAGGTATTGTTTAAGTGCAGCATGGTTTTGAGGATTAATTAATTTATGAGTACTTCTTAACTTATCATGCATTATTATATGAAATGCCAGACCCACAAAAGGAAAATGAAGCAATAGCTAAACAAGAATTTCTGGGGAAAAAATAGGAAATATTTAAATACCTAACTAAAATAAAGCAACCATGACATATAACTGAAGAAGAATATAATAGCCATTTAAAAAAGAAGCAAAATATTAAATATGCAAAAAATGAAAATGTTAATCTGTAGTTTTTTGCTCCTTAGCACAAAAAAAGGTATTTGGATAAGCACAGCTCTGGCTCTGAATGCACTCAGCGTACACGTGAATAGTGTAAAAACACACAGAGATATAATCAAACTTGATAACCAAAATTATTCACACATAAATGAATCATAATCATGGGACTTGGAGTTTATACAGCCATCTGCCAAAACCATTGAAAACAAACAGGTCTTGAAATACGTCCAAAAGGATATTGCAGCCAAAATCTAGTCAATCAATGAGAGAAATGAACATTGAAATCCAACAGTCTATCATAGATAATGCCCTGCCTGCAGTTGTTGTGCCAGAGCTAAGTAACTGTGCATGAACAAATGTGAAATGTGAAAATAAACACGCTCATCATAGGAAAAATTGCTTGTGGAGTGTTGATTTCCATTTTCACTGTTATTTTAGATTGGCTTGACAGATGATATTCCTCCTATTAGGAGGATCCCCCTGAATCCTAGCCCCATCTCTCCTGTTCTTTGGAAAAGATAACTTCATTCAGCTGTGTCTTGTCTCTAAGTCAGATAGAAAATAGGAGAAAGAAGTGATACAACACATCAGAGACTAATATTCTGTCATATTTGATGTATTCTTGTCCTTATACAATTGTCAAAATGCTTCAATTCATGCAATTTCTAAACTCATAAGAGTTTTGGTGTGTGGAGAAGACCCCTCAACTTGTGATATTTATACATGAATTTTCATCACAAACCCAGCAAAGTCCATACAGAGAGTCCTCATCCTGGATAATTAGTCCTCATCCTGATATTGAAGTATCAAAAAAGAACTCTCTTTTTGCTCCATGGACATGGTTCCCCTGGATTTCCCTGCAACCATATCCCATTGTGTGATATTTTGGCCCTTTGGAAAGCAACTCTTCCTGGAACTCTTATGTAATGGATCTCAGTTCTCTGTTCTTCATATATACACAAAATACATCTTAAACATTTCTCAGAACATTTTAAATCTAGTGGATCTACCCCCTGAGGACTCCTATACAGAGAATTTTGTCTGTCAGAAAGCAGCTACAGTGACTTTAGGTTAGCACAAGTTTACACCTGGGAGAGAGCAATGATTAGGGCATTCCTTTGCACGCATGGACCCAGCAGCAATAAAAAGTCCTCAGGGAGAACAAAGTAACTTTGAGCTGCTTTCACCTGTGCAGGAGTGGCAATCAAAAGTTAGACCAGGATTTGGGATGCAGAAAGTGTGTGTATTGGGGGAGGTTTTTGCATAGGGCCCTGGTCTGTGGAAAGTTCCCTACCCATGGCAGAGGGGTTGGAACTAGACAGTCTCTGAGGTTCTGTTCCAACCCAAACCATTCTATGATTCTATGATGTTTAAGAGTTCAATCAGTCCAGCTTACCCCTCTCCATAGAGGTAAAGTAAATGGTATAGTTGGTGCCTGTATTGATAACCTCAGGAAAGGGACCAAGCACTAAGTACTCCTCTCTTTGGAGGTTGTTTCTGTAGGTGACATCTGAGACGCACTGGTGGAGTGAGAGAAGCAGATGTAACTGCTGTGCTAGCTGTACTTTGAAACTGAAAACCTTGTCTCAGGACTCCTTGGTCTGCTATCAAATAAATAAAATAGAAAGCACTGGATACCATATTCTTCTAGAAAAAAATAAAGCTGTGTCTGATGTGGATCCTGACGAATTTATTCTGATGATAACAGGACTTCGTCTAATAATAGTATCCTCATTTCCTCAATATCATTGATTCAGTAAATATTTTGGACCAGGGATCTTAATTTCTGAACAGAATATGATTTTGAGAGCTCCAGCTCTCAAAATTCCTGGGAAATAACAGGAATTCCTGCGTTGAAATTCTGTTTGCTGGTGCTCTTTTCCACTTGCTTTTAGCAGTGTATTTAAAAGTGGATGCTAAAGAAACCAACCTGTCCAGCTTGTCTTGTCCAGGTGCTTCTGTAAAGTCAGTGGCAGGCTCTTATCAACTGTGATGAAGAAGTCAAGCCTTTAGGACTACAGAGGGGAACTATTCAAAACTTGATTCTAGTTACAGAAGAAGAAAGAAATCAAAACTTTACTGAGTGAATTAATGCAATATGAGGTTAGTGTGAAGGGGAATGGAGTTTTATAAAGTTCAGAGATGAACTTTGAAGATAAAAACTCCTAGCTCCTTCCCAGGGGCTAGGAAAGAAGTAAAAAATATTTTTACAATTCCTCGGACAGTGTAAATAAAAATTACATTTTTATATAATTGCCACAAAATATATTTCTTACAATTTATTTCACTTAGGATCGTTAAATGACTAGGTAACCTCTATAGCCATTTTCCAGCAGAGGGAGTCTGTCCATACCAAGTGAGAACATATACTATGGTCCACGGGAAGAATTAATTACAGTGCCAGCAGGAGACAACCACAGCCAAGAGCACAGGTTCCTGTGGTCAAATTTTCCCCCTGTTGTTCATATATGACTTTT